GAAATTCACCTTGCTCGCAGGCTACCAGCAGACACGTTTGCTGCCCGCAGGCAGAAAGTAGGAGTTGATGCTCTTCTGTCAACGTAGGTGAGCAACAGAGGTGTTGCTGTACGGGGGAGAGGCTAAAACACACAATGATTTGGTGTTGCTGATATCTCTTTCAAGTTGCTCTTCCCCCCACACCCCCCCTTCGGTTGGAATTTCAATTCCTACCTCCCCGGCAGTGCTTTCTGTCTAGTCCTGTTGCCTTGAGCTAGAGCCAGAAAAGAGCACTTTGAGGCTAGTCCCATCTTGGGTATGTGGGAGTTCAAGATTTCAAATGCTGTAAGTGGGGGGGGGAAATACATTACACTGTGTCTAGCAGGGGCTCTCCCCTCGACTGCCGCTTTAAATTCCAGCACCGTCTGAAGATGCTCGTTGCAGCACAAATGCGAGGTGGAGGGAGCGGATTTGAGTTCTGCTCCAATTACTGCAGTCCAGAAACGCCTGCATATACCAGGAGTTTAAATATATGCACAGTACCGATGCTTGCTATTTTTAGGTTAGGCTAAAAATATGTAACGTGGTGTTTGCAGGGATTTTGAATGGGTTTTGGAAATCCTTGTGTAAGCATTCTGTGTGCACCTGAGACCTGCTTCATCTCTTAGCAGCTGATCCGTTAACTCGTAGTAGTGGTTGGGACCAGTGGTTTTGTAGATTATATTTTTTCACGTATGAGAAGCTTGTTCAGAACGTACGTGCGACTTCAACTGCCAGTCTGAGATCTAGTCAGTTCAGAGAACTGTTACACCTAAGTCCCTGATGGTCTCTGATTTATTTATTTATTTTTTTCCCAGTAGCTGTTCTGTTAATGGGTTCTTCTCCTCTCAAGTTGCTGTAGGAAAAACCTTAACAGGGAGGGTTTCATTGCCTGTGCAGTGAAACAACTTTGGATGTGCAGAGTCACGAATACGTGGAGTAATGTGGAAAACGGAGGGGAGGTTTGGTGGAACCGCATCTTCAGCGTGGCGGTCTTCGCTGCGCTGTCAGTGGGTGACTTCGAAGTTGTGACAAGTTTTGTGTCACCTGGATACTGTATAGGGATTCAAGTCCCAAATCCAGTTTGGTGTGCTGTAGTGCAGGTGGGAGTTTTTAAGAAAAAGGGAGGAGAAGGAAAAAAAAAAAAAAGCTTGCAAAGTGTGTATCTGCCTGCTGCCAGGTCTTTTTCTTTTAAAATGGTTCTAGTATCCCGTCCTTAAGTATTGCAAAAAAGCTGGTGGTCATGTTAGAGCTTGGTTATAGGTAGCCTTATTCTTTACCTATAAATAGGCACTGAAATCACTGAGGTAGTGTGGGACAGCTTCTTTCCATCTGTCTTGCTTGCTTTTTATTATGTTGTTTATGTAGGGCAAGACCCTAGGGTGGCTTTGATCTTGTTACTTCACGTTCTTGGCGGCCTAGTGCTATAAACATGAATAAACTTCCTATTCGTGCCACTAGATGGAACTGGCCCATGCTTATAGATATTTGTTTAAACTTGAATTGTGTATTGAGTATTGACAAAATGAATTGCTAGCTCTCGGTGGAAGCTTGGCTTTTACCCTCAAAGCAGTGCTTTATTAAGATGCTTGGGGTTTTATGCAGTCTGTTTTGAAATAGAAAAGTGGTACATTGCCAGTTCTTTACAGGTTTGGCTTTTTTTTTTTTTGTTGCCTTGACTGTGTATTACAGTTAATGCTATTTATTATATTCCTGCTTTTAAACCAGCATGAGTCTTTTGGTGATGCGGGCGCATCTTTCTCTTGTACAGGGGGGTAGACGGTCTGTTATCCCAAATTTCATTTCAGGTTACTTCCTGTACCTCTTTCTTGATGCTCAAGGTTGAAGTGTGCAAGTTCCTCTCTACGGGAACCAGAGCTGCCTATAGACAATACGGTCTTAACGTTAGTCTGGTGGCTTATCCCTTGTTCTTGGACGTGAACAGCTGTGGTTTAGCCAGCATTGGACAAAGCACCATTTCAGCTATTTGGGAGAAGATTTTTTGGTGACTCCGCCGAGCATTTGCGGTGTCGACCCACCCACGCGTACATGCATACCCAACTCTGCTAACGCATTGCATGCCCCTGTAGGGGAGAAATATCCAAGCCACTTAGCTTTGCTCAGAGCAGATCCGAGCAGACACCTGTCTAGCCTCTGTCCGCACCACTTGATGCTGCGAGGGCTGATTTGTGGCTTTCACGAACGTCCTTGTTCCTCCCCAGCCAGTCTTGGAGTGATCCTTCGCCGTTTTTGCCTGCCAAGAGGTTCCTTTGTTGAGCGTGAGCCTGCATGAAGGCAGCTGAGACGAGGCGGGTTGCTAGCTATGCAGGGGCTGTTGGTTGTTGCAAGGAGTGCTTTGTAGGACCAGCCTGCTGGGAAGCAGAAGTGATTGGCGTAGGTACAGGAGCTGAAGAGGCCTGGGTGCCACTCCTGGCTTTGCTGCTAGCCTGCTTGGTGGCCTTGGCCACACCGGTCCTTTCCGTGCTTCCATTTCTCCATCTTTTAAATGGCAAGAAGCGTATTGATCTTGTTTTCTAAAATACTGAGAGGGCTAAGGATGGAAAAATGCTATGCAGGACTAGGTGGTAGCTATTCACGAGTACCAGGGGAAATACAACTGTAATAATGTGGATGTGACCTTTTAAAAAGGACAGGGTTTTCACCAAGTATGCTTACGGTGACCCAGCTACTGAGCTGCTGCTCCAGCACCTGTCTGCAATGATGAGAACAGCGCTTCCATGCCATTCTGGCAAATAAAGTAGGATTTATTTCTCCTTGCTTATAAGGCAGAAGCTGAAGGACCTGGTGGGAACACTCCCAAAAACTTGCTTTTGAAGCATTTTCAAAGCATCAATATGCCTATGATACTCTTGGAGCTGCTTACTGGAAATAGGGTGTGCTACTGAGGTTTCGGGGCTCAAATATAGGGGTAGTTGCATATTTGTAGTCATGCTGGTTAGAAGAGGCCTCTGCAGTTCCCTAGCCCAACGTCCCACTCAAATTCAGACCATCACCAGTGCTGGGACCAGGTGAATGTGGCTGTTTGTAGCCAAGCCTTGAAAACCTTTACGGTGGAGGTTCCCTCTGGAGAAGGCTGCTTCGGGCACTGAGCTGTGCTGCTGGCACCCTTTGTGTGTGTTAAGCGAGCGTCCTGCCCTGCAAACGGGAAGACGCTGCTGCCTTGCTCATTTATCCTGCTGCCTACAGTGCAAGGCTTTGGACCGTGTCCGTGCAGGCTGTCCTGCAGGAGGAGGGTGCTTTCCTGCCCAAAGCCGGCCGACTCTCAGCGCTGCTGTGCAGCGTGCGCTTTCTGTGAAATGTGGCTTGGGTTTTGGCTTTTTTAAGTGATAAATTATACTTTTTTATTTTTATTATTTTATCCTGTATTAAAATCTTTTGAAGATGGTAATGACTAGTTCCTTGGGGAGAGTGTAGATATGAGTACCTAGTATGCATCCGAACTGATTTCTTCATTTTGCTGTCCTAGCTGCAAATCCTGTTCCTTGCATTCTTCATTTTGCTGTCCTAGCTGCAAATCTTGTTCCCTGCAGAGGAGGTTAAGTAGAATTATTGAGGAGGAATTTATACTGCTCTTGTGTACTGAAAAACAGGATTTTATAGCAGACCCACCATTTTCTTCCAACTTATGCATCAGTAAATATTTAATAATACAGATTCTTCCGTGCTCTAATGATGAGATGAATACTTCTCAATAAAAAGACCTCCTTTCTCGTTCCAGTGATCAAATTGCGGTCGGAGTTCCTGTACGTATTCAGCTGCTTTGCGATACCGGGAATTGAGAGCTGTAAGCTGACAGACCATAAAATGGAAACCTACTGTTCAGGTTGCAGTGATTCCTCTGATCTCCTAATCCTGTTCGGGAGCCTCCAGCCGGCTCATTGAGCCTCTCTGAGAACAGGTGGGGGTAGCAAATTTTAGTGCCAAAAGCTCAGTCCTGTGAAGGACCCTGATCCCTGTCGTGCTCTCTTTTCAGTTTGAGAGCAGGTGGCGTATCCTGGAATTTGTACCAAACCCTCACTGAGGAGGGGATGTGTCGTAAATCAGGGAGGTCTCTTCTTTAAAATAGCAGATGATGGCAAGAAAGTGTGCTCTGTAAATGTGACTTGTTCCCGTGCCGGTTCACGGTGCAGACACAAAACACGCACTTATGTACTGCCCTGCCAGGGGTGCAGCTTCCTTCTGACGTGTCAACAGCATGGATGTTGTGGAAATGAGCTCAGAGCATCTCTGGTCCCTCTGAGGTTGTGCCTCAGCTTGGTGGCACACAAGGGAATTGAAGGTTTTTGATGCTGGTGTCTCCGTTTCAGCAGTGTGGCTCACTTCACCATTCAGCTCCTCAACAGCTAGGCTGTCAGGTCTGACCCATAACACTGGCTGTTCACCTCGGTGCTAGCATTTCTGCAGCACTTGGGCGTGGTGTGACTTCATGGCATTAAGTGCGATAGGGGATGGTTGTAATGACCTCCCTCAACTGGTACGTCTGAGATACAGGCTTACATGGTGTTGCCCTGTGGCAGCTCAGGCAAGTGGCTTTTGCTCCTCTCACCAGTAGATGGTGGCAGAAACACCGCTATGTGAGTTGATGCATCAGGTTTGTGACTTCTTGGAAACAGAAGATCCACATATGGGGAGGGTTTGAGTCCTGGCTGGACAGAATTGCATCTCCCCCCGCCTTTCTGTGATTGCATAGCTCTAAGCATCTCCGTGTCTTCTCCAGAGAGGCTTCTTGGGCCTGATTGCACTCTTAAGTTGGCTGTCTTAACTGTCGGAACAGAAGACAACAGAAACACGTCTGCTTTTAGGCACTGAGAAAGCGGTACAGAAAAATATCCTCATGGAGAGGCTGTGCTGGGAGAGCCAGGAGAACCCCCAAAATGATCTAGCGGCTTAGTCTTGGGAAAGCCTGATTAGGGTGCTGCTGAGTTTGCCTTACTCTCTCCTGTTTTTATTTTGTCTTCTAGTTCCTCGTGCGAGCCTGACTGCCATGCCTGGGTGTTGACACTTTCGGGTACAGCAGTTTAAAATGGCAGAGAAAGGTGGAAATGAAGAAGTAGTTAACTTGAACAGCTTCCGTAGTCACAGAGGAAAAGGTGAGTACCGGTTTGTGCATATTTCCGAAACTCCCTCTGTAAAACTCTGCTTACAAGCAGCAGGATTCGTAGATACTGAACTTGCAATAGTGCTGTTAACGGGAACCTGCTAGTGGTCTGTTTTGCCGTGTTACACTGTGTTTGCTCTGTTACACTTACTTCACAGCCACCTACAGAAAATTCTCTCATTTTATGCTGACATGCAAAATATTTGGCTCTTGTCTTTCTCATGTTGTACTGCCTTAAGGCAGATTGCTAACTTCTTGGGAACACCGCGTAGAGGTATTTCAGCAGATCTGAGGGGCTTATGGTGTTCCACCCTTCTGAGGACCTCACAGGAGAGAGGCTGGCTTTGCATTTGTATCCTCGTAGGGCTGTATGCATTGGCACCTGTTCCTCCGAGACTGGAATTCAAAATGATGCTTTCTGTATGCCTGAAAGGTGATAAATGAATACTCATGAATGCTTATGCTAAAGCATACGCCAAAACGTTGTGTCCAGTCGTAGGGGAAGCATGGTTGTATGCTGTCTCTGCAGTACAGAAACCCTCTGCTTCTGGATGGAGTGTCTCTCCTGAGTTCCAGTAGCTGTGCTCAGTAGCATCTGTATTCCACTCTTGACAAGCCTTGAGGGACAAGGTTCTCATCTAGTAGCAGGATACCTTCTGCGCCCACAGACAGGAGCCCTATCTCTGTCTTGCATGAGGTACTCCTGCAAAGTCACATTCTTTCAGAAGAGGCCGAATTGCACAGAGAACCTTATCTCTCCTCTAGAATGCACTGCACATTAATAAAAGAAAATGTATCGTCCCCAAGATACTGAACGTTCAGGACTTCTCTGCAAAAATTAGGAAGTACTATGTAAGTGGCTTGTTCAGAACATTTGCAGCAGCTTGACTCGTGCTGAGGTTCGGGGTAGAAGAATCTTTGCATAAGTGTCAATGAGTGACTGTTTCATGCATGTGCCATTGTGGTCTCCTGAGCTGTAGTTTGTGCACGTATTTTGCTCGGAGGGCCCGGGGAGGTAGGAGTGGCCATACCAGTAACTTGCAGAGGAACCAGTGACCTTTGAGCGCTTCTTCCCTGTTGCTGCAATGCAAATGGGAAGATTGCTTTTTCAGATGTTTCGGTGCTTGTGCCCTGTAATTTCAGTTATTTACTTTTAGCAAATAGCTAACTTCACTTACTTTACTACAGACTGGATAAACCGCAGGGACGAGGGTCTTATCATGATATCAGATTCCTCGGATGAAGAATTACCTTTGCTGCTGGAAACGCCAGCAGAGCAGCAGCGTGAGGAAGATGACGATGATGTAGTCATCTTGGTGGAGGTAATTTTTCATTCTTGTACTTGCCCTGCTTTATTCATGGCCTTTGTAGCCAACTCTGGTGCAAGTATCTGATGCATTCCTTTGAGAGTCCTGTCCAGTTACAGTAATTTACTTAGGATGTCTGAAATGTGTGTTGAAATGATGGCATTTTGCTGGCTTTAAGTGTTTAATCATATTTTGGGCACAGGGGGGAGAACTAGATTGTTAAACTGCATTGTATTTAAATTTATACTTAACAAAGGCTGTAGCTTCCATAAAGTTACCTATCTTAATCCAGAAAGGTGGAGAGCTTTGTAAGAGGACTTGATGTTCCTTAGAAGGCGGGTTTTCAAAACATGCCTTGTTTGACCTTGTATGCTTTATTCCTCTATGCTGTTTGGATTCTTGTTGGGCTGTTGCAGGCACTTACATTTTTTGCAGTTTTACAAAGCCACCACCTGATAAATTCCTTTCCACTGGCACCGGCAGTCACACAGAGGAGGGCCAAAGGCTTTAGCTTACCCTGATTATTTTAAGTGTCTAATTTCATATCTAAGCTATATTAAGAATATATTTTCTGTTAAAGTAACCAGAGGCATTGAGAAAATGGGTTGCAAAGCTGACCTTTCTGTTTCTTAGTTGAAAACAGTAGCAGGGACTATTCAGACTCTGTTGGCATACAGCAGTCTGTCTGGCAGAGGCAAGAACGAGGCCAGAGATTAATGTTTTGAGCTTTGTTTCCTGCCTGTTTAAATAAATTGGTGAGAATGCAAATATGCCATCAGTTAGTTCCTCCTTCCCAGACTATTTTACTGGGAGGGAAGTGGGGACTGAGGTGAGCTCAGGAAATTATTCCAGTCTGAAAGTCCTGTGCATCCCCAGTTCTGCCAAATGTTCTCTTAGTACCTGGGAACAGACTGAGGATGGAGTTCAGTGAAACAAAGATACGTGAGTTGCAGTTTTATGCCTTATTAAGCACCTTGCTAAACAGACTTTTCATCTGTTTCCCATCAGAAATTTGATTAGATGCAAAAGATCATCTGGAGCAAGGATTCTGACATGCAGACAAGAGCTCCTACTTACTCTTGTCTGTCTTCTTTTTAGACCCCAAAGCATCAGCAGCTCCTGCGTCCCAATGTCATCAGACCTGCTGCTCAATGGCAAGGTGCAAACGCTGTGGGAGAAGGAGGATCTAAAAGTGCTGTCGAGCCTTTGAGGAGCATATATCTGCAAGATGAGAACTCAGCTCTGCTGTGCCAGGGAGACCGGTATAATCCCACGGTGGAGGGCAGTGCTGGACCAAGCAGGGATGAGAATATGAACTTTGCCTTGCAGCAGCCCGGATCATCTGAGCTTAATGGCCCCAGGTTTGAACTTACAAGTAACCAGGAGCCTGGCCCAAGTTTGCTTCCAGCAATAAAGCCGAGTCCACAGCCTGTTGTTAACAGAGAAATCATTAGCCTGGAGAATGCAGAAGTTCCACCACAAGAGGAAGAAAAGGTGGAAGCCCAGGGATGGCAAGGAGAGGACTTGGAGCCGGAGCAAAACCTCGGAGGAGCAGCTGCTGCAACTACCACAGACCAGGAGATCCGTGAGAACAGCCAGCTGGATCACCCATACTTCCAGCCGTTGGAAGGCGAGCCACATGCTGTAGTAAATGGTTGTGCTCCTCAGCAAGGGCAGCCTGAAGCAGACCCAGGATCTTTGAGGGCATATGGAGAGGAGGCTCCTGGGCCAGCCTTCCCCCGACCTGAACCACAGCAGGATGGGATTCCAGGTCCCGCTTCGCCCCAGCTGGCGCATCCACCAGAAGAGATGGGTCAGCACGCAG